CTTCCGAGGAGTGGCTGGTGGGTTTGAACCGCCAGCCTTCTGGTTAGCAGTCAAGTGCCTTAGCCACTATGCTACCAGAGCTCCTGTAAGTTTCATTACTCCCTTATTTATTATCAGTATCTGTATAGATATAACATTGAACATCTGTGAGTGAATATCTGAGAATGAAAACATCAGCAACTTACACAGTGCAACACTGTATGTAGGACAGTGTTACTAGGAGCTCTAGTAGCATAGTGCCTAAGGCATTTGACTGTTAACCAGAAGGCTGGCGGTTCTAACCCACCAGCCACTCCTCGGAAGGAAGGTTGGGCAATCTACTTCCGTAGTGATACTGCCTTAGAAACCCAAGGAGGGGTCCCTATGAGTCGGTTCAACTCGATGGCACACAACAACAACAACAAAAAAAACATGATCATAAGTATAGTCTATCATAACAAGAATACTTCACAGTTGGGGACTACCTATATTTCCTACAATGTTACAGAGTGCCCAGGAATTGAAGCATGCGACACCAAATGAGTCCAGATGATTTCAGTCTTCTTATCCATAAATCTGGTCCCAGTTTCTGTCTGCCATTTTCACTCATTCATCAAAAATGTATCGAGCACTTACGTGTAACAGGAGCTCTGGTGGTGTATGGCCTAAGTCATTTGACTGCTAACCAGAAGGCTCGAGGTTCAAACTCACCAGCCACTCCTTGGAAGAAAGATTGGGCAATCTACTTCCACAGTAGAGATACTGCCTTGGGGTTCCTATGAGTCAATGGGCTCTGTGGGCAGTAAGTTTCTTTGTTTTGATGGGTGACAGGCAGTTTTATATGACGGTGTTACAGTAGTAAACAAGACAAATACAATCTCTGCCCTACTGGAGTTTTCTTTCAGTGACTGGCTATCATGAAAGACAGAGACAGGTGATGTTGCCTGGGAGTGCAGGTGCTTATGTCACTCTACTCACTTCCAAAAAGTTGGTCCTAGTCACTCTACCTCTCCTCTTTTTGTGGGAGGTGAATTCTGGAATTTAACAGGCAATTGCAAAAGTATCATGATTGGGTGCCTCAAGTCTGCTAAAAGGTGGCATGCTAATTCCCAAGACTCCCTTGGGGTTTGTCTACTGTTGAAGGCAGTGAGATCTCAAGGCAAGGACTGTGCCTAATTTACTTCTATTTGCCTAAAAACAAACAAAAAGGGAGCTCTGGTGGTGTGGCACCTAAGGCATCTGACTGCTAACCAGAAGACTGGCGGTTCAAATGCACCAGCTGCTCCACAGAAGGAAGATGGGGCAATCTACTTCTGTAAAGAATTACCGCCTGAGAAATCCAATGGGGGTCACTTTGAGCTCAATGGCAGTGGGTTTGGTTTGTTCTTTCTTTTTTTCTTCTTCTTTTTTTTTTTTTGGTAGCACTTAGCAAGGTGGAGCAAGCAGCTGCTGACAGAGAATTACTGGCAATTAACAAACCAGGCCCTTAGGCAAGATAAAGTTACATTTCAAAAGCCCCACAAGCTTGACCATTGTAAAATGCTGATAAACCTCTGAGTTGTCTTTCAAGTGTTTCACCAGGTGCAGAGCATGTGCAGTAAAATTCAACCTGACGGACAAAGTGACCTTCCACAAGAGGCAGTCAAGAACAGGAATCCCTTGCTGGGACACGAAGCAGGGTCCAGAGACATCACACTTGCGCAACATACCAGAGTAAGTCATGGCAAGCATTCCAACAGCCTTCAGAATGGGTTCCATCTTTGTTCCCACAACCTTTATGGTGGAATCCATCTTGGTTACTTCCTGTGTGCACACCTGATTTTCATAACCCACCTTTTCCCCCTGGAAACCTCCTCCTATTTTATGCCTGAAACCCTTTATAAACCCTAGGGAATCCTTTGTTCAGTGACAGACTAGATGCTGGCATAGGCAGAAGCCCCTCCCCTTTCCTTTCTCTTTAATAAACTTTACTTCGTGTGGACATTTGGCCTCTCCTGTTCAATTCTTTGTCAGTAGAATGCAAGGACAAACCAACCCCAGAAGAGTGACTCAGTAAATGTTGAATAAGTGAATCTTTTTTTTTATAGTATGCAGGGTGGGAGTCATTTCTTGCCTAGGCTGGCTCAGCTTCCAACTCTTAGTACAAACCCTTGGGCTTCAAAGTGATCTCCAGGCAGATGGCTTCCTGGCAAGTGAGTAGCAATCTGTAGGGTGAGATACTGAATGATTCCTGCTGGGCATCCACATATACTAGTATAAATGGACACAGTTCTGATAGACCAAGACAGATGTCCACACTTCATGCATTTCAAAGAATTGGCTGAGCAAAATGGTACAGATGTTTGATGGCTTAGCAGGAGGGGTGGCTTAGTGAGATTGCAAGAATAATTAGGATGATGAGAGAATGAGTTGTCTGGAGAGGGAAGTAGAGGAGACAGTAGAAGAAGGAAGACACCAACTGTTTTACTTACTTTAACACCTGTGCAACTGTATTTGGTCCAAACCATTCACCAATTGATTTTCCTTCTCCTACACCCATTTGTGCTGTTTTTATGTGGAAAAAAATAAACATGTTAGCAAAAGATCTTCCAGCCAGCCACAAACTATTTTTTTAACATAAATAATCAAGCAGATAGATAACTTATGGAGCCACTTATAAGGCAGGGGAAGAGAAGAAGTAGGTATAGGTATAGCCTTTAAACTGCTGATTTATAGCCTTACCCATTTGATGGATAGAGTAGCAACAGTCTTTTCTATCTAAGAAGCACTGGAGGATCTGTTGGTATTCTTTGGGTTGTTCTTTTTGTTTCTCCCAGTTCCAGTCTTTTTAGGAAAAAAAAAGGTTTTAAAATCATTTTTATAACTACTTATTACCTCTCTGCTATCGTATTTTAACTGCGAAGTTCGAAGGAAAACAAAGGAACTATACCTAGAAGTCCAAGTTAGAACATTCCTCAGTATCTTTAACTTTGATGACAAAGACATCTGGAAACTGATTATTTTCAAAGACTCAGTGGGTATAAAATAAAAGCCAAACAAGGAGCTGACTTAGCCCAAAGGCTGGAGCTGGCTGAACATAACTGAAAACACTGTGTCACAAAGGCATCCTATCACATAGGCCTATCTAGCCAGCTACTCAGTGAATAGAAGGTCACCACAAAGCTCTGCCATATATCCATATATAACCCAGATGCCACAGTGTCTCAACTCCACATAGATAGAAATGGCTTTTGTCTTTATAATCTGGCAGCATTGCCAAAAGAGTCTCATGGGGAAAAGTGCTATTCTGACATACAACAGTTCACAGGGGACTATATACAATTCACAGCTAAGGAAGCTTTTAAAAAAAAGTACATGCTACCATTTTATACCACCTTTTAAAAGGTCCACACTGACCTTTGGAAAAACAAATAGCTTTGGTATCAGGTGTTCAAGGTTTCCTTAAGTCCAAATCCAACATAATTACATTTGTAGGGACCCTATCCGTGCCTTAGGCACAGTCTGTTTCTATCTTACAGAGGCCACTTATCACTTAATGAGGATAACTGAAAAAACTACATAATCACTACTGTGAACAGGATGTACTACTCCTGTTCTCTCAACTTGAGGAACTCTGTATAATGGGACAGATTTCTGAGGCTTAGTTTGTTTCCAAGACATAAATTTCTCTCCTGAGGTTTTAGAAAGAGTTTGAATTAATGACTGAACTGTACTTCACGCCAAGGCCATTATCTCCAGAGTCTTCAGTTTTCTTTTGCTTCTAGTATTTCTGAAACCAAAGTTTTAAACTTCACATCTAGCACAGCCTTCAGAGTGAACCACATGCAACTTTTTTTTTTCTTCACATTAGCTACCAAACTGTCCAAGTCTGGGGAAGTCCTGATTAGCTGGCTGCTAAGTGCCACTAAATATTTACTGATGACACTGGTAAGTGAACACCCCACCTCAATTTTTAAATAACTTAAAATAAGAAACAATCACAAGGTCTACTTCCAAATTCTTTCTGCTACCTGTTTTAATACTAAACAACTGAGACTGCTGACTGTGGGGACTTATATCCACTTTGCTCCCCACAAAACTCTTTCCAGAAAAATCATCTTGAAGTGTTTTATAAATGAGAAAAAGCTACAGTAAGAATGTATCTGCACAAAGAAGCATGTGTGCAGTAGAAAAATCACTGGACAAGAAATCAGAAGACCTGAATTCTATTCTCAAATCTATACTTTGTTGCTTGTTGACCCTGGGCAAATCACCTCACTTCCCTAAGACTGTTTCCTCATCCATACAATAAAAATTGTAATACTGCCCAGTGGAAGCAAGCATAGGATATTTGGTGGCACCAAATCTTATAAAGGGACTAAGGAGATCTCAGTGTTTCCTTGCTTCCTTGAAAAGAAGGGAATACTCCTTAAATCCTCCCCAGGCTCTTTCCCAATCCTCTCTGATAACTGCAGCAGGATTTGTAAAGTTGCACAGTAAGGAAGAGGGAGTGATGTTTCCACACTTCTAAACCTCAATTAAAACCAAAAACCAAACTCAATTAGCATCAGTCAATACATCTGGTAGCCCAATCTTATCCAAGGTGTCCTTTCACTCTCTCATCCCCAAGCCAAAATGGACTTTCATACAAGTGCTTGAACTGGTAACCAGCTCAGGTCATTCTTCATATGGCAACAGAGAAGCAAGCAAATTTCTTAAGAAAGCAATACTCAAGAGTTTTGGCAATGATTACCAGAAAGTTCTTAATGAAGTGGACTCCTGAGGAAGCTAATTTAAAGATTCCTTCATCATCAAGTGAGCATCCCTAGTGAACCAAAACCAAAATAGCAGTAGCTCCCTCGTTAAGCACTTCCTTTAGGTCACTTACATCCTTCATGAGGCATATATTTTAAATGAGGTCAAGAAACAGACTTACCACCACACCCTTCTTCCTGTTCATTTTGTTATCTGACATATTTAAGGACTCACTTGAACAATAGCATAGATGGAAACTGAATGACATACCTGTGTCAAGGTTCAATTCTGTCCCAGAAAAAGAACTCTCTCTGGCTTGCTGAGTCATAAGGAAATACCATCTATTTCCTCTTAAGAGGGTCTGTGTCAACTTGCCAGCCCAACCACTTGAGCATTCAAAGAGGATTTTGGGACCTGAAGCTTTGTTATTGAGTGTTCCTAAAGCTCAGCTGATAGCAGTAAATGACCCTGCAAAGTTCTTTTAGGCAGTTTGTAGGACAAATTTAACTCACCCCTTCCCAAGTGTCTGCAGATAAGGGCTTGAGCTAACATCATCTGTCCACAGCGTAGCATACATCCCCAGCCAGCATCTGATGAAGGGCCAGTTCCTCCTGTCGGCAAAGCGAGGAGAATGAATATGGGTTCCTTAAATTGTCTTTTCCCTAAACATCAGTATATTTCGGAATCATACAAGACAGGCAAACACACACACTCTGAAAATGGAGTCAAGAGGGCAAAGAGAATTTAGGTATAGAATTGAAACTTGCAAAGGAGTTCTAAGGCTAAAGACAAACCAAACAAACAAAACTTGCCCCTTAGGTTTCCTACTTGGAGATTTCTAGGTATGCATCCAATTTTGGTAGATGACTGCCATGTATGGCTACTATCACTTAGTCCATTCCATTTCATCATCTCTCTGACCAAACCTTGCCTTGCACAGCTCATTTCCACATCCCTGAACTTCTCAAGGAAGCACATCTTACCTTGATTAAAGAATAAATGTTATCAATGATACTCATCAAAATGGTCAAAGGATTTGGAAGGCTCTTGACTATTCAAAATACACATTACAAAGATATGAATAGCAAGAAATGCAATGCAGAATAGAGGGATGAGCACTAGATTAAGCATCAGAAGACCAGTCTCTAGTTACCTAATCAAGTCATATCTACAGACTGGGGTTCACACATAACCTGCCTACTACAAGTACTACAAGTGGGTTTATAAAAATTAAATGAGAGAATATTTGTAAAAGTGTTCTACAACCCACACAGGATGATGCAAATATTTGGTGCTATAAGTATGCCCAAGGAGCTCTGGTGACGTACTGGATAAAGCACTTGACTGCTAACTGGAAGGTCACCGGTTCAAACTCATCAGCTGCTCCATGGAAGGAAGACTGGGTGATGTACTTCCTCAAAGATTTGTGGCTTTGGAAACCCAATGGGGGTCACCATGAGTCAGAAATGACTCAATGGCAATGAGTTTATAAGTGTACCCAAAAACCCCTGCCATCAAGTCAATTCTGACTCATAGCAACACCGTTGGGTTTCCAAGGCTGTAAATCTTTACAGAAGTAGATGGCCTCATCTTCCTCCTGCAGAGCAGCTGGTGGGTTTGAACTGCCAACCTTCTGGTTAATAGCCAAATGCCTTACCCACTATGCCACCAGAACGCCTTACTGTAAGTATAGTTAAAAATAATATTATTAAATTTGAAATATATTACATCTTAAAAAGTAAAAAAACAGTTAATAAATGAAATAAGATGAAGGGTTCCATTTTAAGAACATATAAAGAAAATTCCATGTATGTGGCCAGAGTGAGCTCAGTATCCTTTCTCAAGATACCAATGAAATAAGATAACTTAGATGGCAGAGGAGACACTTTGCTGTAATGGATTTCCTTTCCCAATATAGAAGTGGAAAGTATGGCATAAGCAAGATCTCACAAAAGTCTAACTTTAAAGGGAGTCATCAACCTTGTAAGAAAACTGGGCCAAGGTGGTCACCACTTCCCTTCTGTTTTGGGGAAAGAAGGAGACCTGCTACAGCTAAAAGGGGAAGATGAAGCCAATTTGAGAGCTAATGGTGGAATTATAGGCCAGATGAGTATGGAAAAGATGCAATGGGACCTACATAAAAAAGACATCATATATTGCCAAAATATTGGCAAAGTTGAACTGCAAATGTTTTCCAGCTTTGCAAAGAGTTCCTCACCTAAATTAACAGTTTAGAACCAGTGGGTAATATACTGTTCTTCTGTTGGCTTTACTGCTTGAGTACGTCCTGTGGTGAGCAAAAAATGACTGTGTGGACTTCACATTTGGCACTTATTATAAAGGTTGATTTCACTCTAGTTAATAGGTCCAGTCCTGCTTCAAAACGGGTCAAACAGATTTCCACTGAAGTGTAGCTTCCACCATTTGTATTTGGTGACCTTCTTTTGGCAGGGTTATGATACTAGGAAGAAGCTACCCTACTTGCAAACATTTTACAAATTTTCTTGAGGGAGAAAATTCACTTAGTTTATTAAGCTGTCATTTTTCTAGGAGGCAGTTGGTACTCTAACAACTTAGAATCAATTGCAATGAAATCTATCATAATTCATCTCCCAGTGGAAAATTATTTTCATTTCATAGGGGAAAAAAAATCAAAGAAAATGTTTCCTTTCTTTCAAGGCACAGGGTCTTTAATAATCAACCCCACAAAGCAGTACATTATAATTTAATAAGTATTACCCAAATTAAAGGTTTATTTGAATTTTTTCTTTGCTCTCAAACATAAAACAAGTAATAACACCATCTAGTTTCTGAACAAAAAGCTCTGGTGGTATAGTGGGTAAGGCACTTGGCCATTAACCAAAAAGATCAGTGGTTCAAACTCACTAGCCGCTCTCTGGAAGAAAGATGAGGCAATCTGCTTCCATAAATATTTACAGCCTTGGAAACCCAATTGGGGTTGGTATGAGTCAGAATCGACTCGATAGCAGTGAGTTTGGTTTGGTTTGAGTGCCTGAACACTTGGAAGTGGGCTCAAAAATATACTGGCATTGTACATTAGCACTATGGAACCATATGTGAGGAGGGACATCAGCAATGAAAACTTTTAGATGAAGTATAAGACTTACCTACTCCCCTAAATCAAACTCTTTGCCAAAATGACTGCTAATTCTGAGGTTTCTGTGAAGTCAGTGATACCTCAGGCAAGCTATCTATGAAGAAGAAAGCACAGTACAACAAATGATATACCTACCAATTGGTGAAAATTTCCTTCTGTATGTAAACCACAGACGAGCACTTATATCCGACAACAGCTTAGATCTTTCTGTAATTAAATGTGAAATTAAAGTTAAATCACCAGACTCCATCTAAAAATATCTACCTTTGATTTTGGGGCTAACAACAAATCAATTCATTTTCAAATAACCAATCGACTCCATTGACATTGGACTACGAAAATGTGTAAGAAACTCAATCTCATTTTAGCCAAAAAATTCCAGCAGTTCTTCCCACCTATGCTTTGAGCAGAACTACTAATTGGTACAATAATACTGGGTGGTTTCTGTCTCTTCCTCACTGCGCTCTACTTAATGCTGGCAAGTACTAACACTGGGGTCACACCCAAAGACAAGGAAAAAGAAAAGCAAGGCTCCCAGATAATCCACCAACAAGGCATTTAGGCCTTGAATGGCGATGGTAGGTTGGATCTCTCATCGGTACCCACTATCAGTTATCTAAAACTAGGGGTGTGTGTGTAACCTAAAAGGAAATCTCCCTATAAGCAAATGATATGCATAAAAAATTAATCCATAGTGTCTAGTGGAACTGGTATCTGTAATCTAAATGGATGTAGAACATCACAAATGATTTTGTGTCTTTTTACATAGCATGCTTTCTTGTATTTTATGACTGACATAAATTTACTTTGATGGCCACAAATATGGCTTCTATATTTTCATTTGTTCTTTGATGTGGTTCTATTTTTCTTACTCTTCTGTATAGAATTTATAGCCATTACAATTTAAAAGAAGAGAGGGGAATTTAAAATTTTACCAATAATTTCTATCTTCTCTCCTGCCTTTCCTTTGACTAAATCAGAAATTTGAGCTGTTTAGATTTCCCCTCCTCCTCATGTTCCCAGTACCTATCACATATTGGGAAGCAGATATATAACGGTTAAGAGTAAGACTTCCAGAGTCATATTCTGCCCAGGTTTGGACTCTGATTATGCTACTTACCAGCTATGTGATCTTTTATACCTACATATAATTTATCTTATTGTTGTTGAGAATATACACAGCAAAATATGCATCAATTCAACAGCTTCTACATACACAACTCAGTGACATTGATTCCATTCTTCCAATAGTACAATCATTCTAACCCTCAGACTTGTTCCTCTCCCATTAACATAAACTTACTGCCACCAAAGAATCCTGTCTAATCTTTCTTTCAAGTTGCTGTTGTCAATTGATCCCACAGAGATAGCTCTTAAAAGAACATAACACTCAAGGCAGATATTCTAGTAGTAAAACTAAACTATTGTTTGGGTTTAAGATGACTTCAGAGGATATTTTTAATTTAAAGACTATCTCAGGGCAATAGTTTCAGGGATTCATCCAGACTCCATGACTCCAGAATATCCAGATTCCATGATAACTCCAGCTGTGTAATCTTGTCACTTAACCTCTTTGAGCTTCATTGTCCTCATCTGTAAGGGGGTGCAAATAACAACACCTACTTCATAGAGCTGTTGCGAGTATTCAGCAAGACAATACATACAAAGTGCTTAGAAGCAGCTAGCACAGCTTGAGCTGTTATTACACACCCCTCCTTCAAATGTTTACACAACTCACTCCTTCCTCTGATGCTCTCTTCTCCTTCCAGCTGGCCTATAGGCTAGAAAGCCTGAGGGAACTTAGGTGGAAATTTTTTAACAATAATTCCACTTTGGAAGGCATCCCTCAACAAAACATCTGAATATGGGCATATTTGGCAACCTTAGGATTCATGTTGTCATGGACTGCAGAACTAGAACAGTTGATTGCCAATCTCCTCATTTTTCATACCAGTGGAAGAAGTTAGACCCAGAAAGATAAAGTAGGTATTCTGAGACAGAATAATCTGAATACAAGCCTCCTAATTGTCAGCCCTGGGCTCTCCCCACTGTTTACAATTCTCTAATCAAATTAATGAAACCAGACTCAAGAGAACTAGAGAACACTCAACTTTCTCGCCTGTCTTTTTGATCACCCGCTTCTTGTTCTTCACTCCATGCTAGGGCTTCTGAAGAGGACCTCTCCTCAGACTGATAGAAACCTCAGAGAGGAATCTTTCCAAGCTCATGCTTTATCCTAGTGTTGGATCATTAGTAGTTTTAGATTAAAAGGTCTTTCCCAATGTGTAAGAATGTAATAAGGGTAAGGAAGAAAATCCTAGCCTCCTCTCCATCTAGCTGCAGTGGCTAAAAGTTTTACACAAAACCAGAATAAACTGAGAGCTATAGTCAGCATAAAACCTCAAACGACTCAGTTCACAGTCCTGATTTTTGTTTGTTTGTTTGTTTTGTTTTTAAGAGTCGTGGGCTGTTTAGAAGTCCCTTGGGTGGCAGCATTTTGATCTAGACACAAAAGAAAATCAGAGACATGAGAGGTATGTAGCCCAGTCACCAAAGACAGCGACAGATTAGTGATACCAGGAGTGGATCTGTTTTCTGAAACGCTAGTCTTATGAATTTGGGGGTTCCCCTTTAAGAAAAACAATACGAATAACTTACTTTTGAAAATTGTACAAAAATTTATGAGCCCATGTAAACACACTTCTAGGGCCTTTAAGGGCCTTTGAAAGGACCCATGCAAGCACCAGGCCTGAAGCTTAAGCTATATTGGCTGCAAGGTAAATCCACTTCTGAGTAATATTAACATTGATCAAGACAATGCTTTGACAAGCCAAGGAGGAAAAAGGTATAGGACTTTAACTTCAGGTTCCCACCTCCTTTGAGTTCTCACAGTCAAGTATGATCAAACCTTACCCGTTTTAAGGAGATGCTGCTTCCCTAAGATCCATACCAGTTCATCTGTATCTGGAAATTCTTCTAGGTAGTCAGTGAAGATAGGAATCTGGTTTTCATACTTGGATAAAACTGAAAGAGAAGGAAAGAAATTTAATACCAAAGGGGTATGCTTTTCGGGTTTAGTTTGGCCTTAAGCATGAAAGGTCATCAGCTCAAATTGTAATGGAAGCAAATCCTTATCCTTGAGGAACAAAGACTCACAAGGCCTCAACCTTTTGGACCTCAATCCCTTTAATAGAGGGATTTTTTCTTGACCATCACTTTTTCGTTGTTGTTGTTGTTATGACTCTATTTTTTATTGTTGTGAAAATATATATAATACATCATATGCTGATTCAATGTTTTTCACGTGTATAATTTAGTCATGTCATCAAAACTTAAACCAAAAATATCCCTGAAGTCTTCTTAAAAACAAGCAATACCTTAGCTTAAGTAGTAAAAACATGTCTGTCTTGAGCATTATGCTCTTTTAAGAACTATCTATATGGGATCAAAGTGATAACAGTAACTCAAAAGGTTAGATAGGAAACTTAGGGGGCAGTGAGTGTATATTAATGAGGGAGGAACAACTCAGAAAAAGAGGGTGAGAATGGCTGCACATTTCAAAGAATGTCATCAATGTCACCTAATCGTACATGTAGGAATTGTTGAATTGCTGTAGGTTTTGCTGTGTATATGTTCTCAACAACAATAGCAAAAAAATAAAATTTTAAAGAATTATACTAATCATGTCTGACCATCTCTTTTGATCTCTTTCTCATTGTCACATTCGGCACTATCTCTGAATAATTATTTGGCCATTGTTACTTTACATCCTTTCTCTTTTTTTCTATGTGGCTATCTCTGTAAATAGCCACTTTAACTTAGTTTCTCCTAGCACAAGTGTATCAAGGAGATACAATAATACCTACCTGACTCCTGCCCATGTCACAGAGTATTGTGATGTTTGTATTGTGCGGTTTCTAGAAGCCAGTGGCTTGGAAGCCTGCAATATTACACAACTGTGAAAATGGCAATAGTTTAGCTGAATATCTAATGTTTTAATAGTATTTCTATTTGCTACTTTATTCAAATATAGCTTCAACAAAGAAAAATCTTGAAGATGATAAAGATCACTTGTTTTTCAGATTCACAATGGACTATGGTTGTCTTTCAAGAAGATAAAGGAATCCAATACATATAATTAAACCTCATTAATTCACAGACCACACTTTCAGAACTTAAGACCATGTAATACCAGAACTCCTGGGTGGCGCAAATGGTTGAGTGCTCAGCTACTAATCGAAAGGTTGGCAGTTCTAATCCACTCAGAAGTGCCTCTAAAGAAAGGCCTGGAGATCTACTCCCAAAGGGTCACAGCCATTGAAAACCCTTACGGAGCACAGTTCTACTGTGAAACACATTGGGTCAGCATGAGTCAGAATCAACTCAATGGCAACTGCTTAACGTGGAATGAGTTAAGATGCACTTTTTTGTACTACCTGTGGACAAGGGGTCTGATGAAAAAGTCAAGACTGACTTATGAAGGGGCTCTCTTTCAGAAGTTGTCTGTAATTTTCTGAGAGAAATAATATTTTCAGGTAGTACATAACTTTGCAAAATAGTCCACAAAAACCTATTTTAACTTGTAACCTGAAAAATAAAACTAACAGTATAGAGGAGTTCCGGCAAGATGGCGGACTAGGCAGAAGGACTGCACACATGCTCCTCAACAAAGAAAAAGGGAACCAATTAACACAGACACAGAAGAAAATGGTGGACCCCTGAGCCTTGAAGGGAAGGATACAAAAGTGGACTAAACCCCAACTAGCAGAAGAATTTGCGTGAAAATACCAAAAAAGGAGACACACGGAGCTGTAGTCTGGC